TGCTGAACCCTTCCATTGCTCTGAGGACACTGCATCCATTTGTTCAGGGAGCCGTGGGTACCCTATGGGGAAGGACAAAACTTTCCCAGCTCTACCTCTCTTAGTTTTCTCTGGAGTGACCAAACTGACACACCAGCTTTCTTCAGGTGTGGATCAAAGTGGGCAAGAGGGGATGTGTTGGGATGAGATGGTGTTTTATCAGGGGCTACAGTGGTGCTACAAGAATTTTTCAGTCTGTTTTGTTTTGAATGTGCTTTTGGCTGAGCCCGCCCTGCGGACTCGGGTTGTGAATGGGGGATGTTTGCAAAGGCTGGAGACTCCTGTGTTCCACCCTTGTGTCCTGACCACCTTCTCATGCTCTGTGTGCACACGTGTGCCTTTGGTCTCAGACCATGAGCAGCCCCACCTGGCTCCAGCAAGGCTATTTACATGGCTGGTGTTTGTGGGCTGGGAGCCCAAAAAGCAGATGGGAGGTGAAGGGCAGTAAAGTGCTGGGTGTGGGGTGTGCTCTGGGGACAGTCATTGCTGCTGTCATGTGGTGCTTCAGGGATTGTGGTATTTCAAACTATCTCAACATTGCCTTCTTTCTGTGCTCCAACCTGGTTCCAACCTGCTGAGTTTTGTTTTATTTAAATCATGTTCCTGGATAGGAGGCATCACTTCCCCGACGAGATCGAAGGCGTCTCTCTAGTGCATCCTCCAGTGGACAGTGGACCCCAACTCCTGACTGGGTGAGGGAATCTGGATAGAGGAAATAAATAATGAGGGAAATAGTTGTGGCAGAAACATCTCCCCCCAATACACACCAAAGCAGAAGCTCCTCCAGAGCAGGATTTCCTCAAGGCAAATGACTTTGACTAGTGGTTGAAGCTACAGAAATTTACCATCACCTGCAAAGAAGGCTTTTTGATTCACCTGTTGTAAACCAAAACCCTGCTAGTTTGTGTTGCTGTTGTACACTTGGTTCATCCACCACCCCTGTGGTTTGTGTAAACCTCAGTTGTTGTAGAGATAGAGGAGATAACTAGAAATAATGCAGAGCCCTGATCTCCTTGTGGGCTTTCCTCCTTACAGGTGATGTCTTGGAAGTCCAAGCTCCCCCTGCAGACAATCATGCGGCTTTTGCAGGTGCTGGTCCCTCAGGTGGAGAAGATCTGCATTGACAAGTGAGTACATTTTTGAAGAGAAAGGACTGTGCAGTCTGTAGAGAGGTTGGCAGAGTTTGAATTTGGAGGGCCTCTAGGGGAAGCCTTGTCAAGTATATTTGGAAGCATCAAGGTCTCAGCAGAACAGATGTTGTTTTGCTTGTCAAACTTCTGCTTTGCTGATTCCTTCCTAACTTTTGTCTTAGTTTCAGTGCAGTGTGTTCTTGGTGGCCACAGTTGCCCACACTGTTTGTTCAGACTGATACTTTGTGCTGCAGCAGTTTTGGGGGTGTCTATGGGACGTGCTAATGAAGTTCCTGATCTGTCCCTTGGCAGGGGTCTCACTGATGAGTCTGAGATCCTCAAGTTCCTGCAGCATGGCACTCTGGTGGGGCTGCTGCCTGTCCCCCACCCCATCCTCATCCGCAAGTACCAGGCGAACTCGGGCACTGCCATGTGGTTCCGGACCTACATGTGGGGAGTTATTTATTTGAGGTAAACCAACTGGGTCCAGACTAACTTGGTCTTTTCCAAACACTTGGGAGGGCCTGTAGAGAGAATTTCATGCACTTGGCCAGCTCTAGATTGTGTCATATTTACAGGATAGAAAGATCTTTTTCCCTTTGAAAAGACTAGAGTGAATCAGCTGTTCCAAAACTTGGAGTGAGTGACATGAAGGGAGTTGTTCTGGAAGTGCTGCTTGTTTGAGAATTGGCAGCTTTTCTATTCCCTGCTGCTGCTTGGAGGGGATGGTGCTGAGATGTCATGCAAAGCTCTGGCTTTGTGGGCCATTGTAGTTACTGTCACCCCTTTCAGGCCCATTGTCTCTGAACCAGTGACAGTCCCTTTTGCAAAGCTGAAGGTGTTCTGTGTATCCAGCTCCTGTCATCCTGACTATAAGATTTGCATTCCATGTACCTGGCAGCAGAGAGTGAAGTGGCTCTTATCTTTCTCTCCCAGGAATGTGGATCCCCCTATCTGGTATGACACAGATGTGAAGCTGTTTGAAATTCAACGGGTCTAAGAGAGCACTTCCCTCTGCTGAGAGAAATACACTGGATCTGAGGACTGCTGTGTGCTCCTCCTCACAGCTACTCCTGCATTTCACATCCAGCTGAGAGACCAAAAGGACAATCACTTCATTTACCTCCCTGTCATTTAAAGCTTTAATTGGGACCTGCTTGGACATCCCTTCTCCCAGCTCACTTCTCTTCCCTCACCCTGCACCATGAACCTTGAGTGAAAGATGTCTAAGGGATTGTCCATTGTTGTGGTTGCACTAGAAATCAGGCAGTTCTTAGCTCTTCTGTTACTCTTTTGTGCCTGGATGTGGTTTGGAAACCAATCTGACCCTGTCCTTGCCCTGGTTAGAGTCAGCATTTAATTGGAAAAGACTCTCTCTAAATTGGGTGCAAGGGAGAAGCTGCTATTCCTGCAGGAGATGGGGTTTGGAAACTGCAGTTACTTTCATATGGTTCCACAAAGTTTCCAGGCCATCCCTTCTGGCTGCAGGTGTCTCCCTGGTGTCTCAGTTGCATATTGGTAGGGAAGTCTTTCCCATCCAAGTGAAAGGAGAAAGTTGATGAAGGAAAACTTAGTCTCGGTTCTGAATCTCTCTACTCCTTCCCTGGAAAGCTGCTGAAGAAGTTTTGTAGTAGCCAGTGCTTTGGTGTGGCATGAAGAGGCTTTCTTGGCTTCCAGGCCTGTCCTTTGTGGTGTGGCTGTTGCAATGGAGTGTGTGTCACTTTGGAAAGTCCTGCTTAATCCATGTGAGCACACAGGGAGAAGGGACTGGCTCAGTGAGAGCAAGAAGAGACATGACTGTTAAACTCTTAGTCTTTTGTGACTGAAAGGACAGTATCATCTGGATTGGAAAGGAACTGTGTCCTCCCATCTTTGCCTGGCAGGCTGATGCAGTGCAGGGAGTGGAAGGGTCTTTTGCACAACACTGTCTAAGGCAAGGGATTGAGGGAGGCACTCAGGGAAGTTGTAAGAGGAATTTGGAAGTTGTAGGGAGAAAAGCATCTCCATATCACTGGGAAGTGGAGAGTGCTGAGGCAAAGTTCAGTTCTTCAGGGCATTTTGTAAGTGACCAAGTTAACCAGATCTTGAATGTATTTGGTCCCAAGCAATGTGATATCTGGGAAGCCAGAGTTAGAACTGGTGGGAAACCTGCTGCTGCTGGCTTGGGTCAGCTGCAGGCTGAGCACTGGTAGGTGAAGACATCCTGAGGGTTGAGTCAGATCTTTTGTTCTGCTGAGAGGGACTGCTGTGTGGTCTTCAGACAATGAAATGTGAGGGGGTCCTGTCATGAACAGAGACCTTTCCCTCTGCACTTAAGCTCAGTCCTTGGTGCTCTGGTATCCAGGCTCTCAGGTGGGTCCACTGACCATGAGCTGTTTGTACTGTTTAGAGCCAGTGAGGTCACTCCATGGAAACTGGTCTCACATGTTCAAGGGGACAGGTATGGCACACACTTCTGTGTCTTGGAACCCTTCCCTAGGTTGTGAAGGTGGAATGATAGCAATGTGACCATCCTCTCCTAGAGATAGTGCTGCTCTAGTCTGCTGTTGGCTCTGCTGGCTTGTAGTCAGGTGGTTTCCCCCTTTGGGCACTTCCAAGGCCAGTTGAAAGCTGAAATAAAACCTGAATGGTTTTCTGAAGAATAAGAAACAGGTGAAATAGAAGTTATTCCCCAACCCATCTCCAGCCCACTTTGCTGTCTAGCCCTACTCCCACCCTGACCCCATCTCTGCTCAGGTGTCAGCAGGGTGAGGTCTCTGTTTCACTTGGAATCTCTGGTGTAGGAGAATGATTAGGTGGGACCAGCCCCTGATTGTGTGGCACTTGCACCTCACAGCTGGGCTGGGGCACCTGGTGTCCCATGTGCTTGCCTCTTCCCTCCCATGGTTCTGCTGGTTCTCACCATCTCTTCCGTCCTCTTTTCTGCTTAATTTCGTTGTGAGTTTCTCTGGAACCTTTTTTTTTGTTTGTTTCTTGGTGTTTGGAGTCTGATCCTTGTTCTGTGGAAATCAACTTGCACTGTAAACTGTTTGCTTACTTACAGAGAGAAAGATAAAGACTATCTGAAACATGCAGTTGGCTGCTTATTTTTTTTTTATCCCCATAGAGAAGTTTATAATCTTGTTTGTCTTGTGGTAGAGTCATTTGTGCTACCAGGAGAGACTGTGTCCTGGCTTCTTCTTCAGTGTGTGATTATTTCTTATTTTTTTGTAATCAGAGATGAAGACTGAACTCTGAGCCTGAACTATGCATTTTTGGTCATTTCTGTGCTTATGGCATAAGACACCACCCAAGATAACTGCCACAAAGGGTACAGAAAAGGAACTGGATCAAATGGGATCAAGTGTCCTCGCTATGTGAACAGTGTACTGGAAGCTTTGTGCTGTTGAGACTCATAAAACAGACATCCTGACCCTAGGAGAGCTCTGGAAGTCATTTTTCTCTCAATGGGAGACCTCCCAAGCCACCTCTGCAGTCTCAGTAACTCAAACAGTATTTTATCTATTGCACCACAGATAAAATCCAGATCATGTATTTGCCCATGAAGCACATCACTGCTTGTCCCCTGGCTGTCAATAACTAGGAAGAAGGTTTGAGATCCTATCCATCCTTTGGAAAGGTTAAACCTTGGCTGTAGATCCCTTGGTACAAACTGTGAAATTAAAATAATTAACTTTATTGGAGCCTAACTTATCCCTTGTTATTCCCCATGACATATTTATGTTGACACGGGCCTAAGTCAAACCACTAGTGGGATAAAGTTCATGCTCGTGCAATTATTCTCACTTCTAGTATCACAGAAAGGTGCCATAATTGCCTGAATGCTGAATCCTGAGGAGAGTGGTCAGGAGTTTCTGGTTCTGGTCACTGTTCCTGTCTTGGGAGTTTGCTTTTCTAGGGGACAACAGAAAACCCCACATAAATAGGGCTTGATCCTAAACCTGCAGAGCTTCTGGGGTTAAGTGTCATGAAAGATTTTGATAACAAAAAATGGATGGATTGTATAAGAAAGCCTGTCCTTAAATCTCCTCTAACCTCTGAAGGAAGAGTGGTGTAAGTCAGTGTCAGTTGATTTTGTCTGGTCTTTGGTGGGTGCAGAGCAAACCCAGAGATTCCACAAGATACACATGAAAATTCAATCTCTCTTTATTTCCATTTGTCAGGCTCCATATTTGGGACCCATAGTTGCAAGCCCCCCTGCTCTCCCATGTGCCCTCAAAGCAAGTATCTCCCTCTTGCCTTGTGTGAAATGTTTGTGGATGTGTAAAGCAGCAGTGAGGCCCTGAGTGCTGGGGCAGGGAGGGATTCACAGGGGGTTTGGCAGCAGCTCCTTCCTGACCCAGCTCTGAGTGCAGGGGTGGGGTGGTTGCTGGTGCACACTGGTGACAACAGCATGTGTGAGTAGCATCATGTGAAAATCAGCCCTGGTACTTCTCTAGTGCTTCTGCTGGAGGTGGTGTGGGTGTCTGGGAGGAGAAATAGCCTTTTATTCTCAGTAAGACAAGACTGTAGCTCCTGGTTTTGATAGTGGGAAAGGGGGACACCGTCCTGCTGCAGGTCTGAAGGCCTGTCTTGCTCTTCAGAAGTGAACTTTGGTGGGGCTGGGCCTTACAAGACTCACACAAGTCGGTGTGGCAGGTGTCATTACCAGGAACAAACAGAAATACTCCCTGTTTTGACCATTGAAGCAGCTACCAGCATCTTTTTGAAAATTACCCATAATAAAAGTGTATGTTTGGGTCATTCCTGAATAACTGTGGGTGTATGTGCTTCTAGTGTGGCTGGTACAGATGTGTCTCTCCTGTGCTGCAGGATGGCAGGTTGGTGAGCAGTCATGGGGCTGATGGTCCTTGACTGGATTCTTGAAGTTCTGTGGAGTGTAGGTCGATCTTTGTGGCTTTTATTGAATGCTGCCCTTGCATCCTTTTATCTGGAAGATCTCAGTAGGAGCTGGTCAAGTCCCACTGCTACCCCACAGCATCCACTGGCAGGCAACTGAGGAGTACCAGCATGCACCCTTCCTTAGATCAGTGAGACTATTTATGGGCTTTGAGTCTGTTCTTTATGGAGAAAAAAAAATCATCATCTAAACCGACCTCCTTTTCTTCTGAAACTCAAGGAGATCTTGTGCAAGAAGCCAGAGGAAGGGGGGAAAAGCTTAAAAGCTTCCATGTGTGTATCTGTTGCTTTACTGCATCTTTGTTCAGCATCCCTGTTTCACCCCAGCCTCTGGGCTGAGGAGCCAGCCTGGCTCAGGCTGTGATGTAGACCTCCAGGAGCCCCCCAACCGAGTGCATCCGGTAGAAGACGCTCAGTGGGAGCCCGAAGTTCACGATCACAAACCAGGTGGAGTAGCCATAAAAGGACTTTTCCAGCCCGTTCTCGAAGACGGGGTGAGCCCCAAACGTGGGCATGATCCACAGCTAAAGAGGGGTAAGGGAAGAAGAGCAGAAGTCAGGGTGACAAACTGGCTCCTGCCTGCACTCTAAGCTCAGCACTACCTCGAGTGGTTGTAGGAATATTTTCAAGAGTATCAGAGGAGTCTCCCTGCCAAGGAAGAGGAGGAAAAACCCCTAATTATGCCACTGGCTCCTTGCTGACTTCAAATCCTGTCAAATTCTTGAAATTCTAATGATGGCCTTGCTCTGCCCCACCCAGCTTTATCTTTCTCTGGTTCCTTGACCAATTAGTTTTCCCTGGATTAAGGCTGCAGTGAAGATCCATGTTCAAGATCCTAGGGCACAGTGAACTTTACTGGATGAGTTTCAGTCCTGGAGACTCCTGCTTACCCAGACTCACTGCTGGTGCCTCATGTTTCTCCACCTCTCTCATGCAACACCCTTAACGAGGTAGAAAACTTTATCAGAGGCTAAAACTTTGGCACCTAAGGATTCATGAGCTGTCTCCTTCCTGCACCCAGGAAACCAGCCTGTGTTTGACTTACAGGTTAAAAACCAGACCTTATTAAGGATCTGGGGTATTAATAGGAGGAACAGTCTTGACTTGCCTCACCAGTAGGTGGAAACTTGGTGGGCAAAGTCTTCTTATCTGGAATAGTGGCCCAAGAGAAAGACAAAAGGATCATGTCTGTATCACAGGGCATCTTGGCTCAGCCAAGCTGTGATGTGGCAGGGAGCACAATACTTACTATGATATTGCACAAAACCAAGAAGAATGAGATCTCTCTTAGTGCTCTTCTCTTCCAACTCAGGTGGGAGTAGCTGTGGATGTAGGACCATGAAACTTTCCTGATCTCCTCTCCCAGCTCCAACATGCTCACTCGTCTCTGATCATAGGCTTCATGATTCTGCTCTTCTTTTGTTTCTCCCTCTTTGTCAGGAGGGATCCCTGTGTGCTCATCTTTGATGCTTGTTGTAGCTTCCTCTTCCCCAGGTAGCTCTGAAGCCACCTCATGCTGCTCAGCATGGTCTGTGTGTCTGGCCTCAGCTGCTGCTACAAAGGGCTGCCTGTGAAGCCCGTCGATGATGAAGACGTTTTGGGTGATGTTCTGAAAGATGAGGAGGACAGCGTAGGACAGGATGAGACTGTTCAGCAGGTCCCTGGGGTCAGTGGCCACAATGGCAACAATGGAGAAGTAGCACATGGCAATTTGGCCCAGGGCTGCTCCCATCAACAGGATCACGTCCAGGCTGCGGGTTGGGTTCTTCAGCGTGTCCAGCTCCCTTTTTTCCAAGGCATGGATGATTGTCCCAATCACTGCACCCACGCTCATCAGGGGAAGGAGCACAATGTAGTAGGAGTAGTACATGACAAAGACCTGGCGGTTGGGGGCTGAGCCAGTGGCCTGGATCTGGTACATCATGAAGACACAGATCCCGATGACCACGGCCATGGTGCCCAGCAGTGGCCCAAAGACCACCCCTTGGAGCTTGAACCTGGGCTTGATGTGAGGGACGTGGTGGTGGCTGATGCGTCTCCCCACGTTCTTCCACATGACGTAGAGCATGGAGCAGCAGATGAGGCAGTACTCGGTGTTGAAGGGGTAGAGCAGGATGTAGCCCTTCTGGAAGACTTTGCAGATGGTCGTGTTTGGGCATGTGCATGAGGTCGTCTCGTTGCCTGGAGCATGAGGAGAGGAAGGCAACAATTAAAGAGGGAGATGGCCTGGATTTCATGGCTGGCTTTGGGAGCTTGTTGTGTGCAGGCACAACGTGTACCTCAGAAACAGTGAGCAGCAGGAAGTCAAGTGGTTACCACTTGATCCTCAAGGCTGTGAGGATTCAGAATAACAGGGTTTAGCAAATGTCTTCTCCCAGCTACCTGGTGCTCCTGGTCACCACCATAGGGGCTGGATGCAAGGGACACTCCTTCCTTCCCAGCAAAGCTGCCTTTGTCTCTGCCCTTGGAATATCAATTTCCTTCCCCCCATATCCTTAGAAAGCAAAGCACAGCAATTATGTGAGTCTGTTCTAGTCTGGCAATCTTTTGCTTGCAGATGATGGGTAAATGTGAGCAAAAATGCTATTTTATGGTGGGTTTTTCCTTTCCTAGCCCTCAGTTTTAGGGTTTTGTATCAGGTCCTGTCCTCTCCTCATGAAGATGTCCTTCCCTTGCATCCCATCTCCTTTAGACAACCTCTAATAATAAGGAAGTTGGAGTATTTGGGAGATGTGGTTGGGAGATCTGATCTGAATCACTGGGATCAAGCACTGCTGTCCCCCCAGGGATCATCTGTGTCCACCTCCCACAAACAGGGATGTGAGGAAGGAGCCTTGCCTGAAAATCGCTGCTCCACCTCCCGCAGCTGAGACTCCATCTCCGTGTGGATGGTGTCATTGGTCACAGCCAAGAGCCAGAGGAGGAGGTTGGTGGCTGTGGTCAGCATCAGCCCACACCTGGGAGAAGAGAAAGGCACTTTACAGTCTGTGGGGACTGTTGATAACCCATGTCTCCACCTGCCATGTGGTGCTGCCCTTTGCTTCTCACTTCCCCATGCACAGGTGCATTTAAACATGCGTGTGTGCAGTGCTCAGCTCACTGGGAAACCCAGCCTGGCTCATGGTGCAGCTGAGGGAGGGAAGGCTGGGACATCTCCCAGTGATAGGAAAGGGCAGGACACCCCATCCCATCCTGCAGCCACTGAGCTGATCCCTAAGCCCTGCAGTAGAAAGGCAAATGGGTTTAGGAGGAAGCAAGAAGCTTTGCAGAAGTGAAAACTGAAGGAAGCTGGTGAGCTCAGGTCAGTGGAAGCAGGATAGGTCTGGTTGGGCCACAGCTTGGCTCTTGTGTGGTGCAGAACAGAAAAGGCTGTGTAAGATCAGGGGCAGAGAATTCTAGCAGGAACCAGGGAGACCATGAGCAGATAGGAAGGGTTTCTGTAGAGGAGTACAAGGTGTTTTCCCCCCTTTATACCTGGTGAGGTTGTGCTGGACTTGAATGCAGTCCTTGGAGTGATGGCACAGGAAAAAAGCCTGCAAGTGGAGACCAATAATGCCATGAGTGGGGTGAAGCTGGCAGGCTGCTGCACACGTGGGAAAGGGACAGGCAGGCAAGAGGACACGTGTGTGAGCAAACCTGCCTGTGTGCCAGTGGTGCAGGGCATGTGTGTGCCTGCATCCTGGTGCTGAGGTGTGTGCTGGCACCCCAAGGCCACAGCAGCATGTGTCTGTGCCTGCACCCAGGGCCAGATGAGGTTGGGGGGGATCTGCTTTTCCCTGGCTGGTGCCTCTGTGGGTATTTGCTGCTGAGGTGGGAGCTAGTTTGCTTTTCAAATGTGGCTTTGGGTGTGGGAAAAAGAGGGTTGGTATCAGAGTAACACGTGGCAAATGGTGTGAAATACATTTGTGAGCAAAGGATTTTGTTGGAGGGATGGGCTGGCAGGGAGGGAGGCTGGGCCTTGGGCACCTCTCCTCTCTCCCTACTGTGATCCTTCAAAGCAAAGCCATGTGGATCCTACAGTGTGTCAGGTAGTGCTAGAGGGATTTCTTTCTAAATCTTACTGCTTTGTCTCAATCTGGCACATCAGGAGTGTGTGAGTGGGTGGTATTTGAAATGTTGTGTGATACGTGAATGCTTGTAATGCTCACAAGGACGCCTTGTGTGCTGCCCCTTTGCCAAGTCTCCCCACTTCCCATACCCCCTGGGCTCTCCAGGAATGGGACAGAGAACAAGTGAGCTTCCAGAAGGGGAACATGCAGTACCTGGGTGCAAATAAAAACTATTTCAATGCTGGGGAACACAATTTCCACCCTGGATTTGCAGTGGATGAGAATGGTGCTGTAGCCAATCTGAAACACGTTCAGGAGGATGCTGAAACTGCCAAACAGCATCAGTGAACCTGGGAAACAGCAAAAGCACCAGTAAATAAACAAAGATATGTCTGGGGAGCACCTGAGCCTGGCTGGGGCCTGCAGACCTCATGCCTCTTGGTTTTGGGTGGAGCTGGAGGCCTTCCCATTGGGAAGTCCCATGATTTTTTACAGAAGGGGACACAGGGAAACCTGAGCCTGGCTGGGTGCTGCAGCTGGGGGAAGGTGCTGAGACAATGTGGGTTTTCTTGAGCTTGGATACAAAGTGGAAACTGAGGTTTTGGCTTTTTTCTGTGCCATCTGGAGTGACAGAGGGAAGCTAAAGATGTCTTTGACACTTCTCTGCAGCTTTGGGTACTTGGGTACCTTGTGGCTTTCTTCCCCTTAATTCTCCACACTTAGTTAACAAGACCATGTGCTAATTAGAAACTCCATAATAAACCAGAGGCAGGGCTGGCTGGAGAAGTGTCATTTCACAAAGTGGGACAGCTATTGATGGGAAATCTCCCAGGAAACCTGGGTGTCACTGGGATGTGACTCACTGGCCAGGAATCTTCCCCTGGAAACAGGACTGTGTGATGTTAAACAGGGACCAGGGTGGTGTGGGGCTTCTGGTGCCCTTGGAGGATAAATGTGGTGGTTCTCCTCTCACTGTGCAAAGAGCTCATGCCTAAAACCTTTTCTAAATCTCTCCCACTGTGCTGTAGGTGGGAGATGCCTGGGATGTGCTTTGGACAGGAACCACAGAGCAAAGTGGGACTGGAGGCTGAAGGGAACCCAAGTTCAAGCCTTTTCTGGCCGCTCTGGTTCCTCTCTGGGGCATCTACTGTGCCCTTTTCTTCCCCCCCCCCCTCACCACAAGATACCTGCCTGGTCGTAGGGGAAGAATTTCTGTATCTTCCAAGCATTGGGAAGGAGAAAAGCAGGAGATGACAGACGAACCAGAACTTACCCCTGACCCAGATGGGCCCGGCGTGGGCGTCCCGGTGCAGCACGGCGTGCGGCTGCCGGCTGGGGGGCAGCAGGTAGTAGCTGATCCAGCACAGGCACAGGACCTTGAGGATGGAGAGCAGGATCCAGACATCTGCCAGGGCGATGGCCACGTGGTTGAAAATCATGCTGCTGATGAAGGCGCTGCCCAGAAACACCACGTTCATGGCCAGCAGCCCTGAGAAGAGCTGCCCAGCTTTCTGGGCTTGCCTGTCCCGCTGCTGCAGGGACGAGCAGTGACGGTACAGCCAGAACTTCTCATAGTGGATGGTGGAGGTGTCTGGTGGGTCTGAGGCTGACCTGCTCCTGCAGCGCTGGCAGGGCTTCTGCCTTGAGGCTTTGTTGCCTGACATGGCTCATCTGCCTGGGGCCCACCTGCTGGTGTTGAACAAAGGGGAGGTTAGAAGTGAAAGGGGTGGTGGGGGCCATGCTGAGATGTGCTCTGTTGTAAGAGCCACTGGTGTGGTCACCTCTCTTTCTTGCTCTGCAGCTTCCCCTTCCCTCACCAGAATATGGATGAAGGGGAAAAGAGATTGCTCTTCAGCCCAGGTTAGACATTACATTTTCCTGTTGGACAGAGTCATTGTGAGGCATTGGGAAAAGGCTTTTCTGCCAAAGGGTGTCCAGAGACACCTGCATGAAAATGGGTATTTGACATCTCTGCCCTGCCTAGGCAGTATTTGGAGCTGGCTGGACCCATAGGTGACTAAATCTTTCCCATCCTCACCTTTCCCACCTACTCTGTGTACAGTCCTGGATTCAGCTTTCCTCCTTTCCCTTTGTTGCTGTAAGGATTAGGTGGAAATACAGAGCAAGCTCAGACCTGCTCTAAAATTCACAGCTGTTTGATTTTGGTTGACGAGTCCAACCTCCTCCTTGTGTTTTTGGGCAGAGAGTTACACCACACTCTTCCTGTGGTCACACAAGTTGTGGTGGTGCTGCAAAGAATGAAAGAGGGTCTTTAAGCTCTGGTCTAGGCTGCTGAGACAAGATCCAGCCTCCCACCCAGGGAAGTGTGAGAATGGGACAGAATTAATACCTGGTTTTCTTTCTTTTTCTACTTTGCAGTACAGAGGAAAAAGCCTGGAAACATGAGCCCACTTGACACAGAGGAGGTTGAGGAATTGGCCCAGGTAGAAAAGCTCCCAGGCTCTGGATGTCTGTTTAGCTTTTGGAAAAATCTCAGTAGGACCATACCCATACAGCAATCAGGCAAGATCATTTCCATTGTTTCTGTAGATGGGAAGGTGCTTTCCCTCCAGGGACTGCCTCTGGCTTAAGTGAAAGCACAGCCCTGAGATGTCTTGGGAGGTGGGGAGAATTATAGGTAGATGTCTTGGGGCTTTAGGGGAGAAGTTGTCTGAGAAGGGGTTGAAATGTCAGGCCTTCCCCCTTCCTTTGCACGTGCACAGAGGTGCTCTGTCTCCCTTTGGTTTCTGGGGATTCAGGTCACTTCTGTTGGTGGGAGATTGATCCGAAACGCTTCCCTATGTGGCTCCAAAACTCTCTGAACTTAGTAGTGTGGGAGCAAATGCCCTCCCTTCTCCTAGGGCCATAACTACTCTGCCCTGGAGAGGAGAGAAGAGGCCAGAAAATCAGAAGGATCCGATGGAAACACCTCCTTGCTGCACCAGGAGGTACCCAAGAACCTGGACACGGCCGCACGCAGCGGCTGCTGCTGCTGCAGACCCAACCCCTTGATCCCACAGCTGGTTGCTGCTGCCCCAACCTTACCTCCCTGCAGCCTCCTGCAGAGCTGCTGGTGCTGCCTCCGTTACAGCTGGTGTCCCAACCCCTCTCTGGAGCTGCCACCAGGATGCCTGGGAGCCTTCCCAAGGGAGCGAGGTGCAGGCAGGACCCGCCAGGGCTGCTCTGCTCTGAACGCGGCCTCTGCTCCCAGCACATTGATTCTTTTTTTTTTTTTTTCCCTCCACCTTGTTTACTTTGGGTCTATTATGGTCATTACTTTAATTACTCAGTGAGAAGCTTTCGGCTTCGCCAAGGGCAGCCAATGAGGTTCAGCCCCTTTCTGCACCTGCCTGGTTGTCCCAGGCCAACGGCCTCGCCACAGGATGTGCCAACTGGTGAAACCACAGGCTGGGGTGACTAATTTGTGCCGTGGCTCAGGTGAGTGCAGAGCTAATCACCTGGCTCAGGTTGGTGCTGGGAGTGCTTAGCCACGCTGCTCTGGCTAAAATCCACTTGAGTTCCCTGCTCCCTTGCTTTTAGGTAGATCCTGGGATTATTCTTCTTTTAATTGTGCCACTACTTGGTGCCTTTATCCAGGGCACAGATACCCAAACATGACCCAAAGGGCAAAACTTGCAACCCAGCCTAGAAGCAGGGATGAGTCCAATTTGATGCACTTCTGGCAGGAAGGTGGCAGCTTTGGAGGGTGATGGTTGTGAGCTGTTAATGCTGACTTCAGAGCCAGCCCCTCATGTGCAAACCTCACAGGCTGAGCCATGTGGGGTCAGGGATGCTCCAGTTCCAAGCTGTGCAGTCCTTTCTGCAGAGAGTAAACTGGTTTCTGCCTTGGGACTCTGAGCTGAACCCCCTGGTTTGGTGACTGGCAATGAGGATTTGGCACTTCTGCCTGAGCTGGTGAGCCCAGAGGGTCTGTCAGGAGAGGATGGACCTTTCCATGGAAGGAGAGGAGTTGTTTGTGTGTCCCAGGATGAACTGCAGCTGACAAAAAAGTGAGTTGGGAGTTCAGAGGTGTGAAACACTTCCCAAGAAGCTGATTAGGAGTAGGAGTGGGTGAGGGAGCACAGGTTATCGTGCGTGGGGATGTGACGAAAGGGGTGGGAAACAAGAGTGAAAGGGGCCCGTGGCTCCTGGGTGAGAACACCCTGTGTGAGCTGGTGCAGCTGCCATGGGCAGAGTGGGGGTGTCTGCTGTCTGACCAAACCCTGGTCCTGCTGGGGGAGCCAGGACACTTTGATCTGGGCAGGTTTTCATGAGCACCCGTGGCTAGACTTGTTCTGCCTTCTCCCAAAGCATCCACATCTCCAGCCTGCTCAGAGGACCACATTCTTGCTCCTCTGGGATCCCCTGAGTGCAACCAGGCTCTCCTTTGGGTGCCTGGCTTTTCTCTGGACCCTGTTCTGGGGCTGAGCAGGGATCTGGGATCTCCCAAGAGCTATTTGGTGGCCTCTTTGCTGAACAAAGTCAACGATTTACATGCCAGACATTGGCAAACTTGGCTGTTTTCCTGTGCATGTGGCCCTAAATTGGGGTGACTGCAGAACAGGGAGATGGAGGCCAGGAATCTGAATATATCCTGGGGTAAAGAAATTGGGGTGGAAGCAGAGGTTTTTTCCTTTAAAGATGGGCCTGAAATAAAATGCTGGGGCCTGCTGTGCCCCAGTGGTGTTGTCAATGGGACTGGGCATCTGGGCTGCAAAGATGAGGCCCCCTTCCTATTGTGACTTGCTCTCTCCTGGCTTTGGAGCTGAGATGGAACCCAGAGGAGTTGCAAAGCCCTTGGAGACTGGTTAATCCTCCTAATTTGGCCTTTATGTCAAAGAGCAGCTGCTTAATTTGAACCTCATGATACGAGTTTAACCAAGTCACTAAGTAAGCAAGAGTGCAGGAGAGGATGAGTTGACTTAAGTGGATCAGTCCCATAAATCAGTGCCCTGCTCTGCCCTGGAGGAGCTGCCTTTACTCAGAGGCTGAGGGGAACCTGCTAAACGTTAGGAGTGATGTTTGCTCCCCTGCTATCAGCAGGGAGCTTATTAATAGCCTTATCTGTGCACTCAGCAGTAATAACACCCAGGCTGGGCCAAGCAGATCTGTAAACAGGACCTGGGGAGGAAGGAGGTTGGTGCCCAGTGCCCGTGTTTGCCCACAGGCTGCCCGAGGCCGCGGCGGGCTCTGTGCCT